GGTTGATGACACCACACGTCGTGGATGGTATGAAAAGAGTCAAGATATGGCAAATCCTACGATAACGCAGTTGCTCAACTACGACAAGCAGCAAGCCTAGACAGGACAGTAGCGCACATGCGCTACTCGCCACTTAAGAGCGCTGTGCAATGTGCAACAAGGAACACGCAAAGTCCAAACACGTGTGTTTTAATTGATTGAGCCTTGGTCATGGAGTGAGCACTTGCACATCGAAATTATCTTGTAAGCATTGCAGGTCCGACATCACTCACTCTTGCATTTCGACCAACGTAATACTAATACCAACGTAATACAAAGGTGAGCCACAGCAACACCAGCAGGATGAGTCAAATGAGGCACCAGGTGCTAGCACAGTAGTAGCACTCGCATTTCCATCATCAATCAAGGCAGAAACAACAAGAGGGCTCTGTTCACTACACATCAAGTCGCGAGTGTCAGATGCATCTCTTGTGGTCAAGGCACACGTGTTTGGAAACATTACTTCGACACTGATGAGAGAAACTATGAATGCAGCAGACCTCTCTATATTTAGAGCTACCATTCAAGCAAGGGAACCCAAAGTTTGCAGACACCTTTCATGGAGCCAAGTCTCGCTTCTTGGCAGTTGAACGTCGTTAATGAATGATGCAGCTTTACGATCGAAGTATGTACAATTCTTGAGGGAGTACATACAACTGGACCACATGAAGGAGGTGGATGTGGCCATGACAGAGTAAGAACTTATTAACATTCAAACAGAGCTGGTTGCACTCATGTCACGTGCACAATTAGAATTGGGAAAATGGATCTCTAACAGCACACGGCTGAGCACCGCGCAAGAAGATAGAGTCAACATGTCAACAGCAACATCAAAGGTACTAGGACTACACTGGGATCCTGGAGAAGACAACCTTGCATACAACATTGTATTATCGGAGACTGCAAGCTGTACAAAGCGACAAGTGCTATCCGATGTAGCAGACATTTTTGATCCTCTGGGCATTTTAGCGCCAGTGTTAGTCCAGTTCAAGATCCTACTGCAACAACTTTGGTTGCTTGATTTGGATTGGGACTCTGAACTCCCGTCCCCGGTGACGGCTCTATAGGAGTATATCTTGTTGCTGCTAAGACTCGCGTCGCACCTTTAAAACTAACAACGCTGCCACGTCTCGAACTGTGTGGAGCTCTACTACTGACTAGAATTGTTAAGGCAATTCCAGCTAGTCTGGGTAAGAAGGAAGTGAAGGTATATGCATGGTGCGATTCTACAATCGTACTGTGCAGGCTGTCCAATCAACCCTGTAAATTGAAGATGTTCGTAGGCAATCGTACGGCAGAAATACTTGAGACAATCCCACGGAACGCTTGGAGGCATGTGAGTACCAAGGAAAATCTTGCAGATTGTGCATACCGAGAAATGCTCACCGGTGATCTTCTTAAATTTGACTTATGGTGGAAGGGACCGTCCTGGCTATATGATGTCCAGGAGTATTGAGAGATGCTTCGGCGATCAAAATTCTGCTGTTCTATCGCGTCGCCAGCAGCAGAAGCAGAATTCAAGACCAATGTTCTGACGGCAAAGGAAGGAAATGGGGTCGTCCCCCTTTGATCTTTTACTTACTAGAGTATTATCATGGCGGCGACTAATTCAAATCATCGCGTACGTCCGGCGCTTTGTACATCGCGTCCGATCAAGGAACTCATTTCACTCAGCAGCCTTGAGGTTCCATGAAATTGACGCAGCACGAAAGTTTTGTCTAGGGCAAGCACAAAACCCATTTGATGTTGATCGACAGCGCTTGTTGAAGAAGCAACCGCTGCAGCACCGTTCCAAGCTGAGCAAGCTAGCTCCATTAGTTGACCAGGATGGCCTTATTCGAGTTGGAGGGCGCTTAGAGAACTGTTATCTATCTAGGGACGCCAAACACCCAATTGTACTACCTAACCATAATCAACTAGTTGAGCTGTTACTGAAGCATGAGCATCAGTTCAACCTTCATTCTGGAGTTTCGGCAATGTTTGCCATAATTCGTCAGAAGTACTGGATACTTGGACCCCGAAACCTCATCCGACGAATCACGCATGGATGCCTAAACTGTTTCAAGCAGCGTCATCATACTACACAACAGCTCATGGTCAACTACCTGCCACTACCTACTTCAAGGAAATTGGTGGAGCAAAGCATCAAGTGGAATTTCATTCCACATTGGGGTGGAAAATGGGAGTCTGCTGTAAGTTCCGTGAAGCTACACTTGCGGCGAGTGATCGGAAACACAGTGATTACCAGCGCATTTTTTAATCGGACGGACGTAAACTGCAGTTCCAGATGGGAGCTACGCAGAGGTACCAACCAATCCCTTGGGATACTGGCAACATACACAGGCAATGCTTCAAGGATTTTGGAAACGTTGGCAGCAGGAATATTTAACAGCATTGCAGCAACGACCAAAATGGTCTACCAAGATGCCTAACATCATCAAGCATTCGAATACGCCTCCAACAACATGGAATCTAGGACGCGTAATCGAGGTGTACACAGGAGAGGATGGTCGTTCAAGGTCAAGGTCGTTTCTGGAGAGATTATACGACCCATCACGAAGATTGCAGCTCTACCACATTCTGAAACAGTGTTTCAGGGTGGGCCGGAGTGTTGAGGAGCCATTTGTTATTTTTCTGCGCATTTATCATTATTTAGCATATTTGTAATTTTTTTTAGCTAATTTGTAGCTTTAATTATTATCGGCGAATGAAGAGCCGTATCGAGATCAATTATCGCTTAAGTCGATAAACCTATGTTAGTATTGAGTAAGCAAACGAACGGACAAGTTGAGCGTACCAGCAGTTGGCTGTTATAGTTCATATGAAATGAAGAAATATTTAATTATTCATCACCCATTTTCAATGGGGTCAGGGTATAAAAACCAGGAGTAGTTATCGCTATTTTTAAAACAACTCTATACGCGCGTGATATACACAGACTTAGGAAAAAAATTTCAAGTCTACATACATACATTTAACAAAACCATTATATACTGATTTCACATTGCATATAAAAATATGTAGACCTATTTTATACAATTTCAATTTTTGTTCTATTTGAGCTATTGAGCTGCAAGTTGCATTAAATTTCATTAAATACCTCGAAATATATGAAAATAAAACCAAAAAAGGGAGCAATGCAAAGTGTTTGTTAAATTTTTGATTTGTTCTGCATTTATAAAAGCACACATAGGTCTGTATATCTTCAAATAAGGATTTTGCGGGATTAGGGCATCTCATAGTCGGGGTGCTCGACTATGAGATGCCCTAGAGTTTTTATACCGTGAACCCATTGAAAATGGGAAACATGGTATAATGGTTTTGTGAAAAGTATGTAACAGACAAAAGGAATCATCGCAGTCCCCATAAAGTATATATATTCTTGATCAGCACGACAAGCTGAGTCGATATAGCCCTGTCCGTCTGTCCGTCCGTCCGCCCGTCCGTATGAGCAAACCGATCTCATAGGCAGTACAAGTTTATCTTATTTTTTCGATAACTCATCCGACAACATTTTTATCAGCCTAGTTTGAAAATCTTTGGACCTGGAGACTTCAAATTTGCGTCGTACATAAAGTTAATGGATACAAAGATTTTGTAATTTACAGATTTTGGATACCACGCCCCCTACTCCCCCAATTTGTAAAAAGTACTCAAGTACTCAAGTACTAGAGACTTGTGCTTTGAAATATACACACATTTTAACCATATGATCACGCTCTGAAAGTTTTATAAAGATAGTCTCACTACAAAAAAATTATTCAACTAATAAATTCTTAAATTATTGCCCATACTGCAACGGAGCCCAAGCGCGTGTGTATGCATGTGGGCATTAAAGAAATTCAGAATGAGTAGAATATCAGCTTGGAGGGTTCAGGGTATCTCCCAGTCGAGCAGTCTCGACTGGAGCCTTCTTACTTGTTATACTCATTCACGAACGTGAATTATTATACTCATTCACGAGTGTGAATTATTATACTCATTCGCGAAAGTGAATTAGTATATTGGTTTAATGCAATGTCCGTCTTGCTGTCCGTCCGCAGTTTATTTCGGCGCTATTGAAGCTAGAGACTTGAAATTTAGAACACATACTCGTGTATATCTCCGATTTATAAAATGTTAAAATTTCCAAACGCGCGTATAACAACGCGCGTATAACAACGCGCTGTACTAACTGCGCAGTAAGCAGCGACTGCGCTTGGGCTGCGCTGCAGTGTGAGCAATATTATGAGAATGTATTTGTCGAATAATTTCTTTTGTAGACATACAATTATAATTTTAGAGCATAATCATATGGTGATAATACAATATGTGTACATTCCAAAGCACAAGTCTCTAGTACTTTAAATTTTTACGAATTGGGGGCGAAGGGGGCGTGGTATCCAAAATCTGTAAATTACAAAATCTTTGTATCCATTAACTTTATATACAACGCAAATTTGAAGATCCAGGTCTGAAAAAACAAAATAAATTTTTCGATTATTCTCGATAAAAAAGTTATCGGATGAGTTATCGAAAAAATAAAGCAAACTCGTACACGTATGGTATACACGAGTATGCATGCGAAATTTCAGCTCTCTAGCTCTTATAACTTCTGAGATCGACGCACTCATACGGACGGACGGACGGACAGACAGACGGAAAGGGCTATATCGACTCAGCTCGTCGCCCTGATCAAGAATATATATACTTTGTGGGGTCTGCCACGCCTCCTTCTGCCTGTTACATACTTTTAACAAAACTATTATACCCTGATTTCCCATTTTCAATGGGTTCAGGGTGTAAAAAGCGATCTGGATTAAGAGCGTCGAAAAATAGCTAAAAGTTGCTCTTGAATTTCTTTTTTGTTTTCTGGTTGCTTTAAAAACTTAGTGAATGAATTTGGAGCATATGCTGAATATATAATATTCAAGGAGCCTTTGCAAATTCAGTCAGAGTATATGGCATCGTTACCAAATCGAGATTGCCTCAGTATCACAGAGTAGGTCTAACAATTCGGTCGACATATTGAGAGAAAAGTACGATAAAAATTAAAATATTTGTGCATTTCGTGATAAATTCTTAAACAAAATCGCATTGTAAATCATTTCGCTGTGCTAAATTTGAAGTTTATTAATAGTTAGTTGTTATATAAATCAGTTTGTCTGTTCTTCGAGCGCATAGCTGCACCATCTAAATCAAAAGAAAAGAAACTACAAAGATGTCGGACAATTCGGCTGTCTCTGGCGTACTGAATGCTGTGCTGTGCGGCGTGACTGGGTATGGGTTCTACGCGATGCAGCCGCAGGAACATCCATTTGCGTTCTCTGCCTGCTTGATTGGCTTTTGCCATGGTCTGTTGGGACTGATCGACATTTTCGTTGGAAATGATAACACACACAAAGCCAAGAAGACGACTAATGCCATTATGGAGGTTGTTCCCTTGCCGCTAGTCAATATGGAGCTATTCTTTAGCGGCGAAAGCAACAACATTGCGTTGGGACACGGGCTGTTCATTGTGCCTATGGCCATATCTGTGCTGGCCGGCCTAATCAAGGGCGAAGGGGAGGAGGTGGACGAAGCGATTGATACATTGAAGCTATTGACCATGTTGGGCAACATAACCTCTCTCTGCTATCTGGCCATCAACGAGGGCTCCATGATTATGGGCGGCATGGCTGTCCTCGCCTTCCTCACCAAGATTGGATCCGAGTATCTGGAGACACAGATTGAGGGCTCCGGCGATCCAGTCAAGTACCTCAGCTGGTCTGGATTCTACTTGCTGGCCACCTTCGCCGTTGGCGGCGAGAAGTGATTTGCACACCCAAAGTTATGAATGAAGTATACCCAAAAATGAAGTAGCACAAAACAAGTAAAACAATTCCGTTGGGCCTAATTGATGATATTGACTATAGCTATGGATATTTATGGATTTGCACATTTCCCGGATTAACAAACTGAAAAATTGATTAATATGCGACTGCCGTTTGAATTTGATGATTAAATATCTTAAAGCGAATCGACGTTCGGACTCAAGCTTAAATTGAATCATGCGTAGAAAAATTAATTTAAAATTCTTTCATATGTTATGAAAATATTTCATCTTGATTCACTTCAGATATAAAACAAATATTACAAATTAATAGAATACATTTAGCAATAACCAAAAACGAGCATTTGTATTTAATCAACATGTAGACTTGGCCATTGATGGCATTTTGAAGAGCTTGACCCTAGCTAGAAGAATCCAGTGTAGCCCCTGCAAACGAGTTCGGCTACGACGCGTCGTCTAAGGAAGGTTACACGTAGTGTTGCAACAGAGAAGTTAAAGCTTATTCATTTATTATTCAGATCTAGTCTAGCCACTTAATGAAATTCCTTAATAGCTTCGACAAGTTTTGGACATTATTTATGATAAAAATTTGATATATATGTTCATATTGATATTATTGTCCTCCATTGTAGTCTATTGTGTACAGCAGCGGGCCGATGCGGCAAACATTCTAACAGACCTGAAAAGCACTTGGGGGCATTTCACACAAATTTACGCAAGTTCATTTTTGAGCGAGTGTGTTGGTTGGCTTTCTGGCTGCTTGGGTGAGCTGGCTCGGTTTTCAAGTGTATTCAAATAGCCATAATCATCTCTGTTGTAATAAATCTAATTTCCCACAATAGCGGATCGATGGACGAAGGGTTCAACAAACGAACCCACAAAATAATTCGATTTGGGAGTCTGTCGAGTGCGCACTACTCTCGAGTGGCACTCGCTGTGTAGTCACCCGGATGTAAGAGTGAACTATGTAAGTGCGAATCAATATATGTGCCTTTGTGTGTGTGGAGCGGATAGAACAATGTACTGGAGCATAATGGCCATGTCTGCACTTTATCGTGGGCCAGCTAAATCAATGTCAAATGGCAATTAGTTGGCTGCAGATGACTTCATCGTACCATATTCGGCCCACTCGTAAGCCTTTTAGCGCATGCGAGGCTTATGGGCTTAGGTGGCACTAACTATTGAGCTGGAGCTCCGAGTTGTGGCTGACGCTGGTCCAGTAGCTCGGGCCCAAGACAATGACGGTCAATTACTTATGATAACAGACATTTTTGGTTGGTTTTGTTATTGCCTTTCTGTAACAACCAGTTCTTGGTTTTTCGTCTGTTTCGTCAGCTGCCAATCAAAAATCAAAATCAAAAAGACAAATGTCGAACCGAGACTTTAACAAGCCACCCAACTAACGTCAGCTGCACCCGCAACCGCGCCGGATGCCGCCAGTAGCTCCAGTTCCACTTCCACCTCCACTTCCACTTCGACTCGCCGCATCATAAGTCATAAAATAAACAATAAACAAGCTCAAGACGCAGCTAAATGACTTTACAACGACAACTTTGGGGCGTCATGGCCATTGAACACGCCGTGAGCAGCTCCAAAGCTCGGGCAAAAGAGGCGATAGGGCTCGCCCAGAGGGGCATATCGGAGGAGTTTGTCCGTCCGTCTTTATGTCTATTTAGCTGACTGTTTGTGCGTGCTGCACGACGCGTGTTGACATTAGCTCTCAAAATTTATTAGTTTTTATTTTCATTGTGGCTAGCGTTATGGGCTTTGGTTTGGGCCAAGCCTTTAGTGGGGTTAATGGAATACCGTCGACAGACATTGACAAGTCATTGCAATGATTATCAAATACATACATCCACAATATTTCATTCTTCTATGCCTAAAAATAATAATGACTCTGACTCTGACTCTTATAATACAAAGAACTTCAATTCTAGCATAGTTCTTACTGAGCCCAACCATTCATTCTTATGTTATAGGCAGATTGTTACGAAGCTTGAAAATATGCGGCATAAGATTTCAACCTGAAGCCTTACGTTGAGACCAGACTAAAATAATGTATAGCAGCAATCTTTTGCCTAAGGTTTGGTATCAATACATAAATGAGCTACTCTGTACTTACCCAGGAGTTGGAACAAAATGAGATAGGATCCTAATTATTGTAACCAAGAGTTAGGAATAAGGTGCTATAGAGATAAAGCTCACTTTCTATTTCACTCTATTCAAATTATTATTTTCAATTACATAAATTCAAAATTTAGCATTTAAGCCTTTTTGCTTAAATTCAATGTAGCAATGTAGTAACTTAAGATATTCCCATAGATGCAACCTGTTGTCGCATGGAAAGTAAGTCACACACATGGGCCTTCGGGTAGTAGGAACTCATTTCATTAAGCTCTTCTGTCAAATACACATTCCAAATTAATTAAACTTTACCAATGAGAGGTAGTCCATCAGATATTCAATTCATTCAAATTGCTCTCAATCTGTTAAATTGTTAAGTTATTTTTCCATTTTCTTTATATACATATCACGATACGTTATATATGTATATATTTGTGTGACGATTATCATGGTCTGTGTTATCTGATGGTGCTGTCTACGGACTCTTCAACATCTTATCTGGACGTATATCATATAAGTAGGCCCTCTTAGCCCTCGCTGAGTTGCAATCGTACTATATGTTGTATTATTTATTAGATCGTTTCTTGACATCACTCCACAATGGACTTTCTGTTCTGGGTTCGTTTCGTGGACTCTGGGTCTGGGCATGGGTGTCGCTCTTATCAGCAATGCTCCAGTTTTTTTGGCTGCCTCTTGGCTTGCTGCACGTATCTAATTTATATAAGCCATAAGACCTGTTGGAGTTTTGTTAAAATTGAATTTCCATTTGGTGATTAAAAAGCGGCAATAAAATCAATTCCAAGTTGAAGTTGAACGCGTCGAAAATCATTGATTGTATGTGCGTATCAAACGCAATTAATTTTACCGCGCCCAGAACTTCCATTTTAATCAAATTGAAAGAAAAAAGAAGCAAAAAAGTAACCCCTGTGCTGCAAGGATGGGGACGAAGGGGGTGAACGTCAGGTGTTTCGATTGATGCACTTCAATTGGGCAATTCAATAATTTATTTGTAACAACAACGATTTGGCCGCATTTAAAATCGATTAATACTTCGGAGACACAGGCAGAGACAACGTCAGAGAGAAGAGGGCTTAGAAAAGAGAGGGACAGAATAATACTTTGTTATTGTCTTTGGCCAATTCGCATGTTTATTTCATAGGGCCAGCAGCGGACGACGTATTGGCCAACCGTTTTAACATTCATCAGGCATTCCGGTTTCTGAAGACCTCACCGGGACAACAAGAATGCCGCCCAGAAACAGTGATATAGAGACATAAATACATAGAGGGAAAGACAGAGAGAGAAAGAGTAGATACGATGACCCATAACAAGCTGTTGGCCAAGTTGTTGGATCGTAAACTTCTCGCGTCATGGCAAGCAAATCGAGAGCTTAAGAATGCGAATGCTGTAAACTTTTTGGAATTAGAATGTAAAGTGAAAGGAGTTCTGCAGGTTAACAGTCATACCAACACGCCAAACGCCGGCAAAAAACGTAAAAGAAAATAAAAAAAAGCCTGCTGAAGCCAACTTTTGGATTCCAGAGTCTCAGCCATTGCCGGTTTAAGAATCTGTTCGGAGCTTTAAAATTAAGTGAACTGATGGAACTGATGGCGCCTCTGCCGCCGCTTACTAGGTTTTCCCTCTACTCTACTATTATATCCGAGATATATGGATGTAGATATAGATATAGATATAGATATAGATATAGATATAGATATAGATATAGATATAGATATAGATATAGATATAGATATAGATATAGATATAGATATAGATATAGATATAGATATAGATATAGATATAGATATAGATATAGATATAGATATAGATATAGATATAGATATAGATATAGATATAGATATAGATATAGATATAGATATAGATATAGATATAGATATAGATATAGATATAGATATAGATATAGATATAGATATAGATATAGATATAGATATAGATATAGATATAGATATAGATATAGATATAGATATAGATATAGATATAGATATAGATATAGATATAGATATAGATATAGATATAGATATAGATATAGATATAGATATAGATATAGATATAGATATAGATATAGATATAGATATAGATATAGATATAGATATAGATATAGATATAGATATAGATATAGATATAGATATAGATATAGATATAGATATAGATATAGATATAGATATAGATATAGATATAGATATAGATATAGATATAGATATAGATATAGATATAGATATAGATACTCGAGCACTAGCAATAATTTTCAGCTAGCTGCGGAAAAGACTCTTAGCAACTTCCAATTGATATTGATGACTTGATCATTTGGCATGTATTAGATTAGATAGCAAATCGCAGCGTATCAGCGTGGGTTCAAAACGGCCGTTGAGAGTGGAGATTATTGGATAAGTGACGGATGGACGGATGGAATGACTGGATTGCCTTTAGCTTTGTGGCACGGTATGGAAAATACTTGGTCTATGACAGCGTCCGAGTGTATGTGTGTGGAAGCAGCTTTCGAGCAACCGAAATAATTTTGTGTAGGATTAGTGACAAATATTTCTTCTCTCTAATTTTCTGTGAGGAAGTGAGGGAGGGAAGGTAGCACATTGCGAGTAGACAGGCGAGTGGGCGGCCGACGAGACGGAGACAGTGGAGGCGACGCTACAATGGCTTGGCAACCCGGCAACTGTGAGGTACACGGCAACCAACAACAACACTAACAACAACACGAAAGACAAGAAGCAGCAATATCGAGAACGACAAAGACATCTTCGTCTTCCGCATGTCTGCGCTATTTTTAAGCAACTAATCGCCTAGAACGCTGCCAAAGAGGCAGAAGGCGTCGCCAAACGGCGAGCGCCAGCGCCAACGTTGACGGCAAATGTGAACGCCAGGAACTGACATGATGCACATCAGAAGTGGAAAAGTGGGCGGGGGCCAGGTCAATGGAATACCTGAAAGGCGATCCTCGTTATGAAGAACAAATATGGCCTTCTTTATATACTTATGCATATATATATATATATATGGCCCCAATGCGGGTATATTAGCAATAGAATTGTGTTGGTAACAGAAGTAAAAGAAAACTCTTCTGGCAACATATAGATTATTGTGTTCGATATCTATGCAGATATGCGATGATTCACATAGGCATTTAGTTAATACTATACTATACCTTTATGAAAAGCTCAACCATTCTCCCGCTGTCAGCTACTCCTATCATTATCTATCACAGTGGATCGCATGTCTGGTAAGGGCATTTCATAGGTGGGCATTCTCATAACGTTCGCTATGCTTCTGTTTATTTTGGAGTGAAACTATTCATGTTGCCATAGGACGTACATAAATTAATTGAGTTTTATGGGACAATTTTCACTTTTCCCCAAAAAGCTATTTGACCCGACGAATGCCGGAAAATTCAGAAAAAGCCAAACGTGCGTCTGTGCGCCGAGGTTATTTTTAAGCTGGAATGAAAATGAAAATGAGAATGTTCTTTTTGTCAGCGAAGGAACGTGCATAAGTATCTATATCTATGTCTATAGCTATATCTATAACTGTATCTCTCTGCGTATCTGTGTATTTGTATCTGCTCATATATGACTGTATTTATGAGAATTTTTCTCTGGATTCTGTTTTATTTTTACACAAGAAATATTTATCGGGGCTATATTTTCTTACAAAATACACGCAATGCAGGCTCCATAGAGTTGTAAGCTAATGCAAACTTAGTTGATCAAGTATTTGACATTTAATTTGCTGTAAAAAATATAGAATTTTCATTTTTCAACAGGTAAATAGAAATTAAAACTTAAATAAAGCAATAAAAATGTTGTAAACGAAATAAGTGAAATTGAAAAACTTGAGCTTGCTTTTCGTTTCGTTTCTATATATATATAATAGAAGATAACTCATATGGGGTATATCGAAAGCCAAATTCATACACAGCATGCAACTGGCTCACGCATGAGCTAACAGCGAGCAACTCGTTCTTTGTTCGTTCGTCAGACATTGGTAATAGAATAGGCATCGTAAGCCTCCTCAAAACTTATTCCGGAACCTACTTCAATTCTTGAAGGTGAGTCGAGAATGGGGCGTGGCTCGGCTTGGTTATGCGTGGTTGTCTACATACATATTTGTGGTTCGTTGTCAGTTTATTGTGCCAGAACGCCTGCTTTCATATTGACTTTTATTATTTAATAAGTGGTTGGCGCGATGAATTTTCACTGGAAAACTGAAAAGCCAAACGACGAAAGCGACGACGACGACGTGACTTCCGTTGCCACATGCGAAAAACTTTTCTCACTCCCAGTGTATATGTGTGTGTGTGGCTGTCAACAGGATATGTCTACTGCGTCGACGGCTTGTTGATGACATAATTAATGCCTTGCTGTGACAACAACAGCAAACAACTGCAACACCAACCAACAGAAACAACAACTAGGCAGCTGACTGCCACGTTCGGCTTTCGGTTTTTGAAGTTTTTCCCCCCAATAAGAGGACAAGCTTTTCCGGTTTTCCTCATGTCGCTGCTGCTGCTGTTGCTGCTGCTGTTGCTGCTGCTGCGGGGAAAACTGCAGAAAATGTGAAGTGGAAAATTAAAAAGCAAAATGCAATTTTGATTGACATACAACAACAAAGCGAAGCGTCGACGCACAGCTGATGCTATTAAAGGTTAAAGAGTTTTCTTTTCTTACTCGTTCTTACTCACTATATGGAAAAACTTTGCCTCTTTGATATACGAGCTGGGCACTCGAACGCCAGCAGCCATTTCAGACTTTGGGTTAAAATATCCAGAATTTGATTTACAACTAAAATGCAACCACACATAATCCTTAAATACACACATATGTGGCATATCATGTAATAATATATTTATATACAATATGCTAATACTGGTACAAAACTTTTCAAAATCATTTTAATGCTCTTCTCTGGCCAGAGTCCGCAAGTCTTAATTTGCATTTTATTAGCATCATTATTTTTATTAATCTTCTTTTTGCAGTATATTAGTTTTGTACCCGTCCACATGAACGCAAAACATTTTGTCGTTATAGACTTGAAACTTTGAATATATACCTACAAAGGCATTCTCGCCTGATTTTCCTGATACATTGCTGTTGATTAACGTGCTATATCAATGGGACGTAGCAAATCAGGTACTCCATATTCTTGACATATGACTAATGACTAATGACTAATGACTAATGACTAATGACTAATGACTAATGACTAATGACTAATGACTAATGACTAATGACTAATGACTAATGACTAATGACTAATGACTAATGACTAATGACTAATGACTAATGACTAATGACTAATGACTAATGACTAATGACTAATGACTAATGACTAATGACTAATGACTAATGACTAATGACTAATGACTAATGACTAATGACTTATGACTTATGACTAATGAATAATGACTAATGACTAATGACTAATAGTGACTAATGACTAATGACTAATGACAATGACAATGACTAATGACTAATGACTAATGACTAATGACTAATGACTAATGACTAATGACTAATGACTAATGACTAATGACTAATGACTAATGACTAATGACTAATGACTAATGACTAATGACTAATGACTAATGACTAATGACTAATGACTAATGACTAATGACTAATGACTAATGACTAATGACTAATGACAATGACTAATGACTAATGACTAATGACTAATGACTAATGACTAATGACAATGACAGTGACTAATGACTAATGGCTAATGACTAATGGCTAATGACTATAACAATCATGTCCGTGTAGGCGGTTTCATTTTTGTCGATTGCAACTTTGTATGTAGGTAGTTGGTCGAAAGTAAAAACTAGGCAAACACTGCGAGGGCAATGGACACACGAACAACCAAACGACAAACAAACCGGGAAAATTCTTGAGGCATAGGCGCAGTTGAGTGAAAACCTGTCGAGCAACTGCGGCGCCTTTTTGCGTGGTTGTCGGTATTGCTATTGTTGTTGTTCATCAATTGAATTAATGCCGCAAACCCAGGCAAAGCCAAAGAAAAAGCCAAAGCAAGCCAATCCGATCTGATCCGTTGCCAAGCTGACAGATTGCACAGTCGCAGCTTGTTTGGAGGCCGTGTGGCAGACACAGCGACGCAGCTTGGCAACAATGCGGATACGTGCCACATATACAATTATATACACATACATATGTTGTATATGCATACACATATATATGTAAGTCTGTGTGGCCTAGTCGGGGATCGTAGACGTTGCATTGTTGCCGCTTGCCTCTCGCCTACATCAGATAAGTTAATTGGCCATTTTGGCCCAAAGGGAAACAGCGCAGCCGAGTTGCAAGTTGCAAGTTGCTAGCTGCTTGCTGCTGGCTGCCAGTTGCTAGTTACTAGTTGCAAGTTGCTGCCAATTGTTGATTGGGGAAACTTGTCGTATTTTGGGCAGGGGGCTGAGGTGGTTGTTGGAGCAGTAGCTTTGTTAGCTTGGGCCATTGGCCGTCAGACCCGCCCGGCAAAACGCGAACAATGCGAGCCACGTTAACGTCGACTCTAACCCAGTGGCACAGTTTCAACAGTGCCCCACTCCCCTAGCGCCCTCCTTGCTGCCTCTCCCTGTCGATCGGCTGGCAGACCCGCATTTCGAGTCCGAGTTCGAGTTCGATTTCGATTTCAATCAATTCGAATGCTCGAGCTGGCGGTTGTACGTTTAGTCTCTCTAGATCAAATTTTTCAATATATATCCTTAGATAATATGTATATTATAAGCATGATCGTATATGAATATATAAACAAGATGAATTGTGAAAATACAAAAACAAAATAATCTAGTTTGTTTTTATATTATTTATTTATTTATTTTTTATATTTAACTAAGTTTTTTCCATTAAAAATTTCAAATTATCATTATTACTTATTAATTATTATAACTTACGTCAATTTTTTCCTGCTCTATTTAGCAATACTTGAATTTAATTTATATTAGTAATATTTGGAAATTTACTAAATAAATTATATTATTTGAATTATTATTATTATTTTTGTTTTATTCATTTATTTTTTATTATTTTCATTATCAATTTTTTATTTATTATTATATTACTTTCAATTTTCAAATAAATATTGCTAATGCTGTATTTTACTTTCTTATCCAAACCAACTACAAAATTAATATATATGTGTATATATTTTTCTAAAGGATTTATAATATAATAAATATGTCTCTTTTATTTTTCGTTCAAGTATTTATATGAATATATATGTATACATATTTGTTTATATATATATTATTTAATAACTCTTTTTTAAAGTTCTTAAATATGAATATTCTTAATAATATACATGAAGTTTGCTTAAAGATTGATCTATTGATAAAACTGCAATGATTTAGTTGCCCTTCGGCAGATTGTTATTTTATGGATAGTTTTTGTTGTGTTCCTTTCCCAACTGTTTCAGTCTGTCGACTCGCGCAAGATTGCCAAGCAGTTAATTGTTTTTTGGTGTTTTCTGTTGGCCAAACAGAATGTTAGGCAATAATGAGTTCCCATTGCGATAATATAATTAAAATGACAAGACAATTAATTTACAAGTTAATTGCAAAGCACACACACACACACAATGTGGAAAATGTAAAATATGCGAGAAATGTTTTCGATTCAAATTGTTACAGTCAAACAAAAGGCTGACAAAAATGTGATTCGATTCGACGTAATAAAATAATTGGCGCATGCAAAATGCTGCAGATGCAGAATCAGAGAGCGTGAAAGTCAATGCACATACACACACACATACACACACACTTTTATACACACGTACACAGATTGGCAACATTTTCATTCATAAAGAGCAGCTTTAATGTATTAATGGAGTTAAACGCGAGCTGCATGTATGCAGCAAGTGACGTAACACACACACACACACACAGACTCACACAGAGAGACACATTCGCATCGGATCAGCTATGATAGTGTGCGTTAAGCTAGAGGTCCATACATAAGTAGGAGCGAGACAAATGCATATGAGCTTCTCCTCTGCTTCTCTTGTGCTTGCGCTTTTACACGCCTCACTGCTAACGGAAGTTTGTGTCCAAAGTCTTTAGTTCTGTGCGGCGACCTCGTGCTGTATTTGCAAGCGAATTCCATCGGAAAATCTTGTAACAACAACATTAACAAAAACAACAACAATAGCAGCCGCAGCAGTAATTGTCAACGATAATTTCAATGCAAGTGTATGTACATGTGTGTGTGTAGTTGCGTGTGTTGTGTGTGCGCCATTCAGAAAACAAACAGCAATAGCGACAGCGAGTGCAAACGAGACAGCGACAAACGGTGAGCAGTTACATTGCCAAAGCGCAATGGCGCAGTGACAAACACAAACAACAACAGGCAAAGGCAGTTTCAGAGGGGAGGCGAGGAGCAGAAGTCAGCGAAGATCTGAACCAAAACGCAAAATAGAAATTCGAATGTACCTAAAAATCCCCAGCGGAGTCACTCGAAAATTGTAAAACTCGATGGAATCACGCTTAAAAGAGGCGATTAAACAAAAAGGAGGTCATACCAAATACTAATTTCAGAATATTTGGGCAATATTGTCATTGAAAGTGAAGTGCACGAAATAAGGTGTGACATGGAAAGAGCCAATTATTTTAGTTTTCTTTAGGCTTAAATGTTACTTGTTAGAATAGGAAATTAATGAAGTGCCTTAATAAATAACGAACGACTGATAAATAAAACCTCATTTAAATTTTTTGATATCTGTACATGCTTAGCGGGAATACGGCTTGTATGTATAGGCATGCAGTCATTCATACATATGTACAAATATATGTATGTATATGCGCATTTCTCAAGAAAGGTCACCCGCATGTTTTGGCTCAAGGTCAATGAAAGCATGTTCTGCTAGCATATTTTTTATAACTAATCCATCAAGTTTAACTAATATAAACCAATTATACATTTTATCATAATACATCTCGAAATATTGAGACACAAAGCCGAACAAGTGCAAAAGTTCTGTTTTGAGCATTTCTATTGCACATTTTGTTCTTAATATTGAGACACTATGCAATGAAATATGATACTTCAAATTTTCTCTATTTGATTATAATTAATAAATTGAATATATTGAAAATCATTTCTAATGCTTTTAATCATGTAAAATTACTAAAAAAAAAAAAAAAAAAAAAAAAAAATAAATAAAAAATTTAAAATAAGTATGGTGGGAAAAATGTCTCATTCGACACGACACCTTCGAACCTGATTAAAACTAAAAAATAAAAAAAATTACTCAATATTTTTGAATCAAATAAAAAGCATTGTAAAGATGTGCCAATTTCTAATAATTTAAAATTATTCGTAATAAATTGTCACTTAAGGTTTCGCTAAAATCTCAGGTTGAACTGTTCATTTGTAGCCTGCGAACCTTTTAGTTTTTGGTGATTATCTTGAAAACTAACATTTGCCTAAAATCAGATTTAGCACCAACTATAGAGCTAATCAAGAGCTAAAGGATTCACTATTCGTCAAAATAAAAATATGTTTTGGCATTCGTTTTTTTTTAACTCAAAAACCTATGAATATGTTCATATGTAAGAAACATTTTAAATGGATGTGCAATTTACATGACTAATCGAATTTTCCTATGTCGCATGAATTCTAAATCTATTACAAAACCCACTACAT